ATTCCTAAAAGACAAATCTATCCCAATCCTAACAATATTCAAAATCATGACGAGAAAAATTCCCAAAGAAAAATCTCAAAAATATTTTAAGTAATAACAGCTCTATTGGCATAAGTTAAATTGCAAGCCAAGAGCCTTAGTTATAAGATGACATGATTCATTTGGAAGTATAAGCTAAGCTGTGTTCTCCTAAACCTTACAGTAATAACAAACAACATTTATGTAGTGCTTCTCACTAGAGCTGTAACATAATCTTGTGAAATTACTGATATAGAAAAGGAAAAAAAGGCCCTTTGATCCTTGCTCTTTTTCTCTTCCTGGCAGCTGGGGTGGTGGTGACCACAGTACTCTTGGAAGCCTGTGTGAAAGATGGAGGAGCCCTTCAGCCTGGGCTCCTGAATGACTGTGTGGAGCAGAGCTACATACCATTGTGAATTGTCCCCTAGTAGTTTTTAATTGAAAGAGGAGTCAACTTCTTTTTGTCCCTTAAACCATATTATTTTGGAATCTCCCATTATATAACAATTTCATCTTTTACCCTCTCTCTCTGAACTCATCCTTACCATTTACATACCATTTGTTATTACTCTATCCAGTGAACCATGTGGAGGGCAAGCAAATATTTGCCTTAGTCTTTGAAAATGATTTGATTCTGTTGGTGTTTCTTCCAGTCTTTTTTCACTGCTATTCGAAAAGTTACTTCCTTCTGTTGGTTCATTTCCAGCTATACCTTTGAGGTTCATAACTGTTTCCTCCTGTGTTTCAAGTAATCAAAAAAATTCTTAATACTGTATATTTGCTATACTTTTTTTAGTTACTGAGACATGATATCACAAATAAAATTCCCATTGTTATAAACAAGGCTAACACTTTAAAGGGGGAAATATACAGCTTTATTAATAGCTAATCAGCTAATGCTTGAAAGAAGAACTATGTTGGGAGTATTTACTACAGAGTCACTATTTGTATCATTATAAATGCTTGAGTCTCATAAAATTTCATTATGTTTTGCAATATCAGGTTTAAAAATTAGCCTATTTAAGATATGATGCAAGGCAATAGTTTGTAAATATATAACAGTGGTTCAGAAAAAGATACTACTTGTCATACAAACCATTTCACATTTATTCATCTGCTTGAATTTAAGCAATAAAAAGAGAGAAGGAAGAAACCAGAACCATATTAGGGGCTAGGTTGAGAACACAAAGGATTTCACAGGCTCTTCATTTTTCCATCCCCATATTGAGGCAGCTGCTAATGACTATCTGGAAAACTGGTATTCATACCTACCCTGGATTGCATGAGTTCTGGGATTATGAATGGGGAGAATTGTTAACTGAGTGATAGAGAATGAAGAGAACATATTGTAATTCTACAATAGATTTGGAAATACATAGTCTCTNAAAAAAAAAAAAAAAAAAAAAAAGAAGCTTCCTAGTTATTATTTCCTGAGGCAGTAAAAAACAAAGTATACATCTTTGAGGCTAAACTTTTCTGAGATCTTAATATGTTTTGTATACATGTTACTGGCATCTCAGTCACATGTACCTGGTCTTAGAGAGATTTCTAGCAGATTTTTAGTATTATCTTAGCAGCTGATAGGTACAGTGGAAAACTAAATCCATTGGAAAACAGAAGAAAATTTCTTGAGGAATCTGTTTGTTAGTATCCTGTTAACATTCAAATGTCAGGCCACTCTATGCTTCCCAGAATTAACTGTCCAAGACTTTGAGTGACAGGAGAGCCCACCATTCCAAGCTCTCTGTATAGATCGGGCACAGTTGAGGCATAAAATGGGGCCCTGACGGGTCATGGACAAGAGGTGGAACCCAGGATTCAACCTCCTTCTCTGCACCGTCTACTTAGGTGCCCTCTGTGATTCTCTGGCTGGGGAGAGGTAACATCTGTTAGCCGTCCCAAGATTCTGAGGGCACCCATGACTCCTGTCATACAGTCAGTTACCAAAATGAGTGTGAAGAGTCTCCACATCAGTAAGCTTGGCTCCATCTTCCTGGCAGCTGGGATAGGCTGCCTAAGCAGTGAAGAACCCTAATCCTTCTCACCCACCCCAGCCCAACCTCCCAGCAGCTGAACTTGAAAAAAACCTGGTTAAAACCACTTCCTATATTTGAAACCAGAGAAGAGACTGCGAGGCACGATTTCCTGGCTGAAGAAATCAGCCCAATACTTTTGGAAAGCAAGTCCTGACTATCACAGAGACTGGAAGGATAAGTGGGACGACAACCAGAATGGATTGATCCTTTCACCCCCATCCTTCCTGCACAATGCTAACAAGAGGCTGACAGGAAACCCAGCATTCTAAAGAGAAAGACCTTTTCTTCATTAGGTAGCTTAATGTTGTGGAAAGTTTAAAAGTCTTTGAAGTTCCTAAATCAGCAACCAACTGCCTAAAAAGAAGGCATTTCCACAGGGATTTCAGCTTTTTATTTTTATTATTTATTTATTTATTAATTTATGATTTTATTTCTGATTTTATTGGGGAGTTGGGGAACAGTGTTGGGGGATTGGGGAAGGGGAATAGTCAAATTGTTGTCCTTCAATCTTAGTTTTCGCCAATTTGATTCCCTCATGGGCCAGTGAGCCACGCCTGAGCTGAGCAGCCCCTCTGCTGCCAACAGGTGGCAGGATGGCTCAGCTGGTGAGAGCGTGTGCTCCTAACAACAGGGATTTCAGCTTTTTAAAAGGTAAGGCTTTATATTTAATTATAAGAAAGTATACACCTGATTTTTTTTATTGGTTTTCAGTTCACTTTGCATTCACTTCTATTGCTTGATGGTGCAAAATATTAATGTGCCAGGAAAAATTATGTACAAAAATGCAAATTGTATTATACTGACACAGTTCCATGTTTACCATTGCATATGAGCTGATTCATGGTACAGAAACACTTTGCAACAGAGTATGCTATATTTCTCATTAGGATCATTTGGTAGTAAATTGTTTCATTTGTTTGCAGTTATCCTTATTCTCATTTTTAAGAGATAGTTTTTTGGGGTATACAATTCTAGCTTGAGAGCTACTTTCTGTGAGTTCCTTGAAAATATTTTTCCTTGGTTTTTTGGCTTTCACTGTTGCTAATTTTCATTTTAAGTTTAATTTCAGTTCTTTTAGGAAATTTTTCTTTGACTATTTTTAAGTATGTTATATTTAGATATGGCTTCCTTTTGGTTTGCTTAGTTTTTGTGTTTTCCTCAAATCTGGAAAATTCTCAGTCTTTATGTCTTCAAATATATCCTCTTCTCCATTCTTCCTATTCTCTTCACCTAGAACTAAGATTAGAGTGTCACTCTTTTTTTGTGTTGCTAACCCGAGTTTCCATATTTTCCACCTATGTCTGTATAAATTGCATTTTAGATAATCTCTTTAGATCTATTTGCTAGTTGACCAATTCTCTTATCACTTAATCTGCTGCCTTATCTAGCCATTGAATTTTAGATTTCAATTACTATATTGTATCTTTCATTTCTAGAAATTCAAATTGGTTCTTGGTAAATATCTGTTCATTTTTAAAAGTTACATGTTTTGTGCTCATATTTGCTATCTCATCCTTAACTTTTTTACAGATATCAAAAATATTTTATACTCTATTTTCTGAAAACGCAAATTTTTGGAATCTGTTTCCTCGTGTATGTTGTGATTTTTTTGTTTGTTTGTATTTTTGTGAGAGTGACCTTGTCCTTGGAACTTTATCTCTGAGAATTGTTCGAGCCTTATGTTGAATGTAAATTTTGTCAGATAGGATCTGAATTCACTTCTACAGTGTGCTTAGA